CTGTAAGCCTTGTTTTAGACATTGAATTTCGGTCGCGTGAAATGCAACTAAGACAATAGATAATGAAGGCCGAAGCTTAATGAGGTTTATCATCTCATTATTGTCTTAGTACTGCGTGCATAAATTATACACGTCCTAATTACGCATTCAGTAATATTTTTTTTAATTGACCGGGAAAAGCAAGACAAAATTTTGTTCATTTCTCGTTCAATTTTTAACCAAATTCAACCAAATTTTAATCAGTTCTTCCTTAGCCAATGGAAAATGCACTCACAAAATTTCGTACGGATATGTTTCGTATTTCTTGAGTTATCGTGCTCACAGACAAACACACACACACACATACACACATACACACATACACACACACACACATACACACACACACACACACATACAAACCCAAACTTGTTTTGTTGTAGTAGATAATAAAGTGCTCAACACTAGTATTATAGTAGACCAAGATATATTAATTAATAATTAATTAATATATCAATTTAATATAATTAATTTTAAGATATAAATATATATATATATATATATATATATATATATATATATATATATATATATATATATATATATATATATATATATATATATGTGTACTTGTACACATGATGAATATTTTAGCTACGAGTATTTATTAAAGACTGGTAGCCAGCAAAAATAAGACTAAATAAATATTTTAACAAACTTGTTTTAAGTTTTGATTATATACATACAGGTAGTTTACAGGTGCAACAAATATTATTACTATAACACCAAATGTCGTCCGTATATATAAGCCCACACTTGTGTAGTTCCACCCGTGTATATAAGCCCATAAATAAAAAGCTTACGAACGAATATAGCCCATGCAGGGCTTATATTGGGAAGTTTACCGTATTTTAACCAGAAGTAGACCCTACTTAGAGAGAGAAACTGATATTGATTCAAACATTCATGTATAAATTGTATTATTATACATTTAATATGTATTCTCGTTTCTAATTGGTCAGAAAGCACCCGCTAATTTTCAGTATTCGGCATTTATTACGTATTTTCCGCCGATTACGTCATCAGCGTCCAATAATTGTTTTTTTGGATCGAACTTGCATCCCCCCAAAAAATTATTGGACTCTCTCGTGCCCAAGCCCCTGCGCGGCCAAAAGCTTGAACCTATAAGCGCGCGAAAAAAACAAACAAACAATGGCCTACAGCAGATTTGCTTCGCTGAATGAAAGTGAACTCTCCAAATTATTGGCAGATAAGGATAGTGAAAGCACGAAAAAAGCCACAAAGGGGTAAATAGAAGTAGAAATAGAATATTTAGCTGACCTTTGACTTTGTGCAAGGTGTTTGATACTCAAATTGTACTTTTCCTACCTCATGAACAGGAATCGTTTTATATGTTTCTCATGTCTTTAAATGTATAATAAAACAATTATTGGATTCGGCTTTCGCATGATATCAAGAATTATTCAGACCTCGGTCTATGTTATCCGCCTCAGCTTCGATTCGGCAGATAACATTGACCTCGGTCTGAATAATTCTTGATATCATGCTCAGCCTCATCCAATAATTGCTTATTATATGTAATATTATCTTATAAATGTATTTTAATATAATTTTGAAACAAACCATATGTGGTAATAGTACTTCAATTAATATATATTGGTTAAAACCCGTTCAAACGTCGCGCTACTGCCGTGCCGAACGCACGATCAGCTGAAATGCCTCATTATTTATTGTGTTTAATGCTTTCGACATGGCAGTAGCGCGACGTTTGAACTAGGCATTAAGGCCTTATTTACGCATACTTTGGTGTTATCATGCTTTAACGTGATTGCATGTGCCAAGGATTCAAGGTTTTAAGAAGTTTAATGATTTTGAAATCGACCGTTTCATAGCGCTAAAACGACCCTTTTAAGAAACTAAAACGACCCCATGAAAGGGCTTTTATACTCTTTGAAGGGGTAAAAACGACCCCTTATAAAAAACTACCCTTTGCAATGACTCCAAATTAGGAGCTGAAATGACTCCGCCGAAGAGCTAGAATGACCCCTAGAAAGGGTCATTTAGACTTTGTTAGAGGGTCAAAACGACCCTTTGAAAGAGTAACATTGTGACCCTTTGAAGAGCCAAAATAACTCTTTGTGAAGGATAGAAACGATCCTTCCGAGGAGTAGCCTCCGAAGGGGCTAAAACGACCCTTTTGAAGGGGTCGTCTTGGGGTAAAAAAAACGACCCTTTTGAAGGGGTCGAAACGACTCCTTCGAATTTACAGTGTAGCCAGGCTTAATGCCGCGGTAATAAATACCACTGCGTAGCTTGTTTGTTAAAATACGATTTAGTATTCGAGACTATTCAACCTGAATGGTTTTCCTGTGAAATAAGCGAGGCAACTAAAAAAACGAAATTATTTACACCACTGTGCTATCTCCACGAACACTCCCCTGTCCTGGCAATATTATAGAACTGCACGTATAGTTCACTTAATTAGAGACGCTAAACGTACATTCTATACTAATTCCATTAATTAATGCTGATCTTGATAATCCAAAAAATCTCTAGAAAATAATTCGTAATCTTGCTCCTTCCAATCACTCTAACTCTCCTAACCACTTGACTATTGATGGTAAGACATTGACTAATCCTAAAGATATCGCTGATTCAGTTAATGATCATTTTACTGACATAAGAAACTCTGTTTCGCTTAATAACTTCACTAATAATTCAAATTGGGACTACCTTAAGTTTCTAATTCTCTTTCTTCTAAAACTCCTCCAAATACAACTTTTACTCTCCCCCCAATATCTGAAAGTTTCGTTCGAAACAGCCTCAGTTTTCGCCGTTATCTCTAAGATACTTGAACGCCATGTTCATAATTCTTTTTATCACTTCCTAACCAGTGAATATAATCTTCTTGTTGAAAACCAATTTGGGTTTAGAACATCTCGGTCATGTGAATAAGCAGTCACTCATCTTACTGATAAAATTTTAACTAATATTGATAACAAAAAATTAAATCGACTTCTTGTTGATTTCGAAAAGGTTTTTGATCTTGTTGATCATGAAATCCTAATTCTGAAACTTAGAATGTTCGGATGTTCTCCATTAGTATTGAAATGGTTTGCGTCATATCTTAGTGATCGTCATCAACGCATTATTTCTAAAACACATTATCCGATATGCGTCCTGTTAAGATAGGTGTTCTTCAAGGAAGTATTCTTGGCCCCCTTCTTTTTATCTTATTTATCAATGATCTCCCTTCTCAACTTTCGCACTCAGAATCCACAATGTTTGCAGATGACACCACCGTACTAACAGAAGGTTCTTCCATTCATGATTTAAATGTAAAACTTAACCTTGTTGCTCAAGATCTCTCAACATGAACTCAACAAAACCGAATGGCGACTAATACATTGAAAACCAAGACCATGCTCATCCATTCTCCCCAACAAATTAAGAATACTTCAGACCGTTCTCTATCAGTTATTCTTAATGGCAACATGTTTGCACAGGTGAAGCAAGCAAGAGTGATGGGTTTAACGCTTGACGAGTTTTTAATTTGGACCAAGCATATTGACAACTTGTGTTCAACAATTAATAGTAGGCTTGCTTAATTATTACGCAGGATTAAACCCTTTTTAACTAAGGACTGTGCTCTTCGTTTCTATAACTCCTGTATTAATTCAAGTCTTATCTACTGCTCTGTAACTTGGGGAAACTGCTCAAAAACACTTTTACTTCGCATTCTTCGACTGCAAAAGCGTGCAGCACGTATTATTACGCTGACTTTTCCACTCCTTCTGTTCTTTTTTTCCCAGATTCGAATAATCCCAATCTTTGATCTTGTTAAATTTAGGAAGCTTCTCTTACTAATTAACATCCTCACAAATCCCAGTGCTCCATCTTCATTGAAGGTGGTTCCCTACAGTTATTCTTGTTTAAGCAATAATTCCGTAAAACAGGCTTATTCGTGCAGAACGCGAATTCTTTTCGACTTGGTGGCAATATTGGTCACCTAAGGAATATTTCGAACTAGATTTCGACGATGTCAATGTTCTCATGGCAACATGACGACAGCATAAAGCCTTCCAATTTAACCCATAAATGTGCCGCTATCTCAAAAACGATGTCGGGGACCTATCTTTTTTATTTCATATATCAATAAGGAATGATGCTCTGCAACTGTGGTGAAAGTTTAAAAAAATTCTGTAGTGTGTGATTTTTTTAAAGGCGAAAAATGTATTGCAAAATTTCCACACTACAGATTTTTTTAAAATTTGAAATTTATAAAATTTACCGCAAAATAAATTCGTGGTCAAAATTTGAAGATAGGTTACCGATGAAACTAATGAGTAAAATGCAAATAAAGTTAGAAAATAGCCTCGTGTAACTCGAGAAATTCCCCTATTGAAAAGCGTCGCTGACTATAGTAAAAGATTGTACGCGGGCGCAGAATGAGTTTTCATTCAGCAAAATCGAGCCGCAATGTTGTTTTTACTGTTTTGTTTTTTGTCAACTTTTCGATTTATTTGAGTGCAATGGACAGCCAAGGATTATTGTGAAGGTTTAAATCGATGAAAACAAGGTTGAAGCTAATTGAACCCTGCCGTTTACTCAATCTATGAGCTGTAACAGCCTATTAACAGGTGGACGTGTTTTTTTGTTTCATGTTTGGTTTTGTACTTTTTGCTAAAAATGAACTATTAGGCTATGAAACTGAAATATTTTTCTGTTTACATATAATCACTTTAATCTCGACCGAAAACGTGAACGTTTTCTAGTTGAGAAGTCAACAACTTTTTAAACGTTTGTATGCAATTTTGCAAATGTTTTACAGTTGAGTCTGTTGACAGTGTATAAAAAAATTTTAAAATATTGTTTCGTAGCTATTTTTTGGTCTAGTGATATTCGTATCATATGTAGAATTGCTGTATAGACTAGGAAGTGATTTGGCACTCAAAACGAAGTATTATTCAACGCTTATTTCCATTAGAAACCTTTCAGAAATAGCTTTATTTTTAAAAAAAGCATGGTCAATTTTTGTTTTGTTTTGATCATGCAGTTGCGTGGGATAGTTCACGTACTTGTCCCACGAACATTCCGCACGGAACTGTAGGGAGCCTCCTTAAGCAAATGTTTAAATTCTTATCTTCTATTCGACAACGGACACTGACTAGAGCTTGCGCATATGACCTTCAATCCCCCTTCCCGCATACTGACTCTGGTAAACGAACATTTCTGTACAGTGCTTCATTCTTTTTAATTGTTTAGATAGCAATTGTAAGCAACTTGCTGCTTCGCCATCTTGCTCTTCATATACTAACGCCAAACAAAAAATTCGTAAAATCTTTCTTAACAAGCTTAACTTTACTAACCATATCGAAGATCTATTTTGTATAAATTGTAAATATTCACTAAATTGTAATTGTATTCATTACTAATTATTTTTCTTCTCATATGTCGTAATCCCTGATACTTTTTATGCCTGTAAATATCAAAATAGTGCGAGGGCGTATGTTAGATAACTTTTACACGCCGGGTCAGCTCTTCCCAAAAATCGGCCATCTGATATAAACTTTTTCAATATATTTCGGATGGACATGAAACTTGCTACATCAATATAACTTTCCATTCCGAACAATCGTATGTTTTTTATTTTTGAGATTTAACGGGTTTTGGCGGGAAAATGACGTCACGAAACCTCCAGTTAAAATTTACTTTCAATATCTTAATAGTTTTGTCGCAGAATTTGGAAGAACATGTCATGAACAGTTCAATACTGAAAACGGATTTTAAATATCTAAACCTAATCCAAAGTTATTTCACTATAAAAACCGTGAAAAATCTAAAAATAGTAACAAAATGGTGGAAAATTCGATTCTAAACTCACTGTATCTCGTGATTAGATTAAGATATTTAAAATCTCTTTTCAGTTTTGAACTCGTCATGACATGATCTTCCACATTCTGCTTAAAAACTATTAAGATATTGAAAATAAATTTTAACTGGAGGTTTCGTGACGTCATTTTCCCGCCAAAAACCGTTAAATCTCAAAAATAAAAAACATACGATGTTCGGAATGGAAAGTTATATTGATGTAGCAAGTTTCATGTCCATCCGAAATATATTGAAAAAGTTTATATCAGATGGCCGATTTTTGGGAAGAGCTGACCCGGCGTGTTATGGTTAATACGTTTTCCCTCGTGAAATAAAGTTTCTATTCTATTCTACTATAATCGAGGCCGAGTGATTGCCGAATTAAATTCGCTAACTTTTGGCCGATAATTTAGGTTAACTTTAACAGCTTCTCGCGACCAAACGAAATAATAGTCAGCGCTGTTAGGGACCGTTTATTATTTATACCCTAGGGTGGGGTGGGAGATTCTTATGTCATATACAAAAATTTTGTAGCCCTCCCTCCTTTGATTATCTCAATGTTGAAGACCCCCTATATAAAATACTGGAAAGTTTATAACCCCTCCCCACACACCGTTTGTATATGAATGGTTTAATACTGTAAAGAATACAGCATAAGTCAAGAATTACTGTTTCCTTGCATACTTTTGCTTTAAAATTATATTATCTGTATTTAAGAGATAATATAAGTTTTCGCAAATTTCTTATATAAAGTGTTTTTAATAATTCCTTTGAGAACCTCGTCGCACTGGACATTGTAGTTTACATTCGAGATATTTATCAGGGCGTGTTAAACTATATATAAGGTAATGTATAACAAACTATTAATGCACACAACTGAAACTGGCATTTATAAGTATGTCATTTGAACACACACTTTTTAGTTAAAAGTTAGTTCAAATCCAGTTTAACCCTTTAAGTGCGCCTCACTTTATCATTTTACTCTGTCTAACACCATATTATTTTACTCTGTCTAACGCCAGACGATTTTACTCTTCAGGGGGAGAATGCTGCCACTCAATGGGTTGACTATCGATCTGCCTATATGCACCATGTCAACCCTTTAAGTGGCAATGCTACATTGTAAAAACAGATTGGTTAAAATAATCAATTCAAATTGGTTGTCTCAGAGGCATCTCTTTTTGACCAATTTTATTTGGTTAAAACAACCAATATATTCAACCAATCTGTTTTTACAGTCAATGCACCTAGATGCGCCCACTTTATTACTTTACTGTGTCTAACACCAGATTATTTTACTCTGTTTAACGCCAGACGATTTTACTCGTCAGGGTGAGACTGCTGCCACTTATTGGGTTAAAGATATATATATATATATATATATATATATATATATATATATATATATATATATATATATATATATATATATATATATATATATATATTATTCTGAAGAAGGCTCGAAGTACCGAGTCGAAAGCTCAATAAAAGTATATTTCAATCCGGAGAACTTTAATTAATTATATATATATATATATATATATATATATATATATATATATATATATATATATATATATATATATATATATATATATATATATATATATATATATATAACCCCTTAATTTTCCCACCCCACCCTAGGGTATAAATAATGAACGATCCCTTTTGTTCACTCTTAGTGAACAACATGTAGAGTTTCAGAAATTGGGGCTTTTGATATTTATTTATGTTATTTTTAGAACATAAAAAACCTCTCTCAAACTAGGTTCAAAATAAATCTTGGGGAATGTGCTTTGTGTGATCTATCACCGCCCCCAAACTATAAATCTGTCAAATGTTATTTGTCGATAAGATCAATCAATTTAAACTTCAAAGCTGCAAAATAGAAGGGGTGTAGAAAAAAGGCGGACGTATAAAAGGCGGACCGCGGACGACGAATGGTAATCTGTACTGGAGAAAATTAATTATCATTTCTCTGCATTTCTTCGAGTTTAATCGCATGCCCCTTGTAGAGGCATAATCGTAGATGTCATTGTGGTACCAGCAAGGGAGTTACACTCAGTGAACATCTTGGGATAAATACGATAGTTGTTAGGTCGTCCACGAATTTGATTCTGAAATTCCAATCACGAAGTAGACTATTTACCAAAGCCGTAAATAGGATAGGGTCTAATTTTGTACCTGGACTTAAACGAGGACATCTTATCGCAAATGCAAACACATGCATTGTTTCCTTCTCATCAAAAAGGCTCGAATCCATCCCACTACAGCGGGGCGTACATTCAATTCAATCTCTCTAATTCAGCAATTAGGACACTGTGATCAACTAAATCGAAACCTTTACTGAGTGTTGATTAAAAAATTCCATTGCTAAAAATTCGAATGGGTGAAAACATATTCATTTCACAGATCTAAGGCTGGTATACTTTAATTTAAGGTATTACAATTAGTTGCGGTAGTAATCATGTGTATATAAAATGCTCCGTCGTCCGCCTTTTATCTACACCCAAATAGAAGGGGTGCCTTTGTTTTATGTTGAACTGTACTCAAATCCTTTTGCTTTGCCTCAACTTTATCAAATTTTATTAGCTAGTTGCACGTTTCATCGCATGACATTGCATGAGCTATCCCTATTTGGACGGTTATACTTAATTATACGAAAATACAACGAGGTCAATCACCGTGACCGTGCACAAATTAACATAAACTCACTGACACTGGCAAAAACATTACAGTAACTTCTGTTTAGTTTTCAGACCAGTCCTTATATCTTAGGGACGGACCATTAGAAAAGTGATGGGGGCAGAAAAAAGTCCATGCAAACATGTTTGAAAAAAATACATGCAAACAAACTTATTTAAAAAAATTACAAACAGAACAACAATAGAACTTTCATTTTAAATGTACATCAAACAAAATTGAACTAAATCTTTGGAATATTACGAAATATAAATATATAAATACATAATATATTAATATGCAATTTCTTTCAATATTAACAGTAACTCTTATATAGTTTTATTATATGCTATCAAAATATTTTCTATTGTCTTTAATAATCCTCATTCACACTGCCACTGTCCTCGATCAGTGACGTAACTACTATGGGCTCGGACCGGGAGAACCCGGGGGCCTCGAACCCCAATGGGCCAAATGGGGGCTCAGGCAAAAATATTGGCCAGGGCCTCTGATATGTTACAATGTCGTTTTCTGACCATCAGAAGTTTTTAAAATCTCTCCCCCAAACTCCGGGAAATGGTATTTCAGAGAATCTAGATTCAAAAATTTTCCGGGTGGGCATGCTCTGAACCCCCTAGAAAACTTGTGCATATATGGTGCTTGACTTGTGCCTTTGGCACTTCTACTAGGGGGCCCTTGAAAGTTTTGAACTGGAGGCCCCTGAACTGAATCGCAGTGCCACTATCTTCTGGATCCACAACCAAACTACAACTTTTCCCTTGATCTACAATTAAACTGACACTATCTTCTTGATCTACAACCAAACTACCACTTTTCCCTTCATCTACAACCAAACTGACACTATCTTCTTCATCTACAATCAAACTTCCACTATCCCCTTCATCTATCAAACTGACACTATCTTCCTGATCTATAATTATCTCAATGGAAATATCTTCTTCTACATTTTCTTTTCCTCTACTTAATCTTGCTTTTTTCTTTTATCATGTTTTGTTTCTTCTTCCTTTTGCTCATTTGTTCTGCCATACTTACATCATGAAATGATATCTGGTTTAGCCTAAAATATCCTTAAAGATATTATTTTGCAATGTGCATTAAAGGAATATTTTTTGTCAAGAGAACAGTTTCGTTAACATTTGTATAGTTGTATTGGGAAAAAGAATTGCATGCGAGAAGACATATTTAAAAAAAGCATGCATACACAGCTGACAACCTGGAAAAAAAATGCAAACATAAAAAATTTACCCCCATCACTTTTCTAATGGTCCGTCTCTTAGATAATGATAGACCATAATTGAGTGATTGACCCAAACATCCAACTGGTGTATATCATCAAACTCATAATATTAGTACGAGTTATACTTCGAGGAAAAAAATACGAAATAGTTTTGTGCTGTAAGTAGAAAGTATATCTGATCGTTGATCGTTGATTCAATTTATTCAAAATTTCCTGCTGTGATATTTTCAACTATTTTCTATGTTTTTTTAATATTTTTCTATGTTTTTCAAATATTCGGAACCACTTAAGCAATTTTAGCTATTTGATCTGCATATATTGTAAAATTTTTATCCGTTGACGTTTTATTAATTGTTTTTAAAAACTGAAAATTCGCGTCGCGTTGCAGAAATGCACTGGGTCTGTATATGGCCCTTCAATCGCCCATTCTCCCTCAGTTTACACGGAATCACTCGCAGTGAACTGCCGAGCTGATTTGGCGATTAAAGAGCCCCTGGAACCAGGGTAGACTCATGTACTTTCATAATAAAAGGACTTAGTTAAGTATTTTGTAGCCTGCGAACAGGCTCTCAAGCTGAATTGAGAGCCTGCATCGATGACTAATGAATTTGAATATCTGCCCCGTAACGTTCGTTTTTCCAAATATGGAATGTCTATCCTTATATGGTGTTGTTTACAACTTTCGTGCAGGGGCGGCGCTACAGGGGGGGGGGACACACACACACCCCCACTCGTCAGCTAATCGGCAAATTGTTATCTCAGTCGGCAAAATTGTTGTCTCAGTTGGCTAAAGATAACCAGTGAAGAAACCAAAATTGACCTCCTGAATAATTGAATTCAAACCGAATATCACGAATAGCATGCATCAAAGAAACCACACATGCAGCAATGCAATTTTTTTCGAATACAGTATCTTCACTTCTGGCAGCTAGTCCAAAAACATAATATTATTGAAATCATAATTAGGTAATTAAATTTGTTTGGTTGTTGTTGTTGTTGTTGTTGTTGTTGTTGTTGTTGTTGTTGTTGTTGTTGTTGTTTTGTTGTTTTGTTGTTGTTGCTTATTATACTGTTCTATAAAAGAGGCAATAAAGTCGGTTTTCCACTAGCGAATTTTCTCGCACGAAGCGACCTTTTTCCTTTGTCGGTATCACTCATTCGGCAATGCCGGGTTAAATGCAAATTTTTGCCCACCTTAATTCAACCAAAGTAAGAATTTTTTATGCTGATAGCTTTTAAAATGTTAAAATATCGGCGAATTCGATTAACTGAACACACTATGCTGTAAGTTTTAAAAACTGACGGGTATTGTGTATATACGTTAGATGTTTGAAGATCAAATTTCGCGCGTCTGGAGTTAAAATTTGGCTCCAACTTTCGAAGTTTCCGGCTGGAGGTAACGTTCCAGTTATATTCCGATTTCAATGATTCGTAAATGCGTGATTAATATTGCTCCAAGACGTGGAACAGATTTTAAGAAATGCCGAGATGTGCCGACCTAGGTCAGATTTAGGTCGGCCCTCTTTTGCCGACCTCAATTTTGACGGTTTTGACTTTTCGAGGACTGCAAAATGGATGCCGACAAAGGAAAAAGGTCGCTTCGCGCAGAAAAATTCGCTAGTGGAAAACCGACTTAATAGAGGGTAATAAAGCGCATTTACTATAGATGGCCCTGAAGGGGTAAAATGGGAACTGGGATTGACCTATTTTTAGACTGGGAAAATGGGATTTGGGTTGCTGGGACTGGGATTTGGCCACTGGGAATGGGAAATAAAGTCCTCAAAAATGGGAATGGAATTGAAGTAATGTGAGTCGATTCCCAATTTTGATCCGTTTTTGGTGTCTTTAGTCATGATTTTTGTTGTAACTATATTACTCACAGCATTACCTGCGAACAGGCATACTCTGGCGCCCGGAATTTTGGGTTTTCTGATTATGCGTGTCTCAGAATGATGCAAATGCCATTTCCGGGATTCAAATTTTAAAATTTTCTGTGCCTTCGGCACTAGCCCCCCCCCCCGATATTTCATAAAGAATCCGCCACTTGCACACACGGTGGCTTAAAAGGTCTTAAAACTGTTTATTCTACCGATAAATAAAGGGGTTTTTATTGACTGGGATTTCAATAACTCGGACTGGGATTTCTAATAAAAATCCAACTGGAACTGGGATTTTGCCAAAATTTCAGGTGGAAAATGGGATTGGGACCCCCCCCCCCTTCCCACTTTAGGACCCTCACTATAGGCTAATGACTCGGCAGAATTACCAAACAACAGTCGGCCAAAGATCACTCGCACCCCCCCAATCGAAGAGGGTTAGCGCCGCCCCTGCTTTCGTGCAAACTAAATTTAGACCGTGCAAACTAAATTTAGACCGTACAGTTTATACTGTTTTTCGAAATATAAGATATTCAAGCAAAATGAAAAGTTCAAATGTTTTAAATACTGTTTTCTCAAAACAGAACATTTCGTGCTTTGAGATAGGATGGCCAAGACCAATTTGACCAGTTAATGTGTTTTATATGCATAGTGCTTCACCAGTTGACATATATAGAGCGGCTCGGCGGAAACATATAAATTATAGCATCTGACCAATGAGAATTTCGCGTCACGATTTGAGACGCAGATATTCAAATTCATTAGTCATCGATGCAGGCTCTCAATTCAGCTTGAGAGCCTGTTCGCAGGCTAAGTGTTTTGTTTTTAATTTTCTTTGTTTAGAAAAAGGGCGGCGATTAAAATTTCAACTCCTGCATGTATTCCCCTACAAACTAGCAACTATAGTTAACTATACTAGTGATTAAAGGGGTCTATTACAGTTTGGAGGTCAGGCGGTTAATTTTGGCGCATTTGAGAGGGCGGTTTCGGATATATCTCCATTTCGTGGCGGTTTACGGTGAAGAAGCAATTACTCGGTAATCGAAAATAGTTGAGCATAGATATATTAAATTACAGAAGCTCTAATGAAGCATAGTAATTTTGTTATTGAGTCAGGATATCTGCTATAGAAAAATGGTCGAAACCTGGAAAGTCGGAACTGGAGTTTGTAAACGATAAATCCATTCATACGCAAAAAACAAAATGGCTTACTATATGCAGTGTTGGAACTGTCAATTTATTATCGTTTTTATTTGAAAGTATCAATCATGTTGCATTGGGTCTGCATGAAGTGCGCGAGGCACCCAAAACTCGCGAGTACACATGAATACAGCAGCGAGCAATACACTTTCGCAGAAACGTTTCTATTAGATCAAATATAACCTATTTGTGCGAGTATTGTATGTTATATACTGTATATAATTGTAATACGTAGACAGCGAGCAGTCCGTCGGGAGAAAGAAGCGACTGCCGACAACAACACATCAAGAAACGAAATACGCGTTGCCCACACAACGCAAAATTCCCATTGGTCGAAACATCGAAATCGATGTGCCTGTCAATCAAATTTAATATGCAATAATCATGCTATAAATAATTTCAAGACTGAAATGTTGATTTTATAAATAAACAAGGCAGGCTTAAATGAATGGTTCCTATTGGATAGATTTAATTGGATATAGGTAATGGTTATGCAAAGGCGGAGCCAACTTCACAAGAACGAAAAGTGGGCGTATTTCGTTTCTTGATGAGTTGTCGGCAGGCAACATTTCCCCTCGCACGCCCGGGAAGCTAAACCCGTGGACCGCTCGTAGTCTACTTATACGCGATGCCGAAAAATTATCGCTTCTGATATGTGCATCAAGATCATTCAATGTTTTCTGTTTAATTAAGGTACGGAAAGAATGTTGAAGATATAGCCATATCTTCATGCACATATCAAAACCGACAAGCACACTGCAACTACTAAATTCAACGAAATTGAAACTAAATTTATTTATACTGGATAGCTTTATTTGTTGTAGACTACATGTTCTCACAGAGGTCTGGACTATATATATATAGTGGTCCATAATTGTAATTAAACTGTTGTTCGTCGAGGTACAGTGTGAAGAGACACTAAACTAGATTGCTTCATTTAATATATTCAGTGGATAAGTTTCAATTTCGCAGAGAAAGGCTTGTTTGATTGTTTGGTATTTGTAGAAACATCACGTTTATTTTGTATTACTATATCCTGTAGCTTTCAATCTGTGAAGCTTGCATGGATCGGCTTCACCATGCAGTGTATTAAATTATAGCACCAATGGATCGAAAGCTTCGCCAAAGCCGAGGCAAAGAAATTAACTTGTCCACAAAACAAAACAAAACAATTATATTTATTTTTACCATGTAAACCTACAAGGTCAAGGATCTTATTAATGTGCTTAATAATTGTATCAAGATAACGAAATGTCTTTAAAGAGCACAATAGTCAATACACTAATTATTGAAAAAAAAAACACAAACGACTTTTTATCCCCAAATTACGGCAAATAAAAAGATTTCGAAAGTTCTTTAATTTAAATATAATATGTTCACATTTGGCGTAATTGCCTGCATGAATGCCATACAAAGTTTTGTCTTATATATTATATATATATATATATATATATATATATATATATATATATATATATATACAGTATATTGTTTATCGGCCGTAAGCAGGCGCTCTTGGTTAATATAAAGTTGGTTTAGCTAAAGTTTTCTCCTGCAGTATAGCTGGTAACACACTGGACCAATGAAGGATCGGAGAAGCGTTTACAACTGACAATACACACATGCAGCTAAAGTTTCCAATCGCTTCTGTAACCTACCTGAAGTAATTTGTTTTTAATTTTCTTTGTTCAAAAAAAGAGCTGCAAAACACTTCAATTCCTACGGCTACAGACAGAATGTCTGTACCCCCCACAAGCTTGCATGCAATAATATAGTTAGTTATAGCTACACTGAAGCAGTATTGAAATTCTTCAGATAGATATTGTGTTCTATTTGGGCCTGCAACTTAGAAGTCGCCCAAAACATGCGAGTCACTTCATGCACATGAATATAATGAATACATTGAAGGTAACATTTTAACATTTAAGTTTGTGCATGTTCAGGTAAAATTCTTTCACATCTCACACCCCAACTACAGCTGCTGTTGGCAAGATTCCTGAATATATATCATGCAGTTAAATATTTCTCGACGAATATCTGCCATCTAATTGTCCTCTCGTCGATCATTGCGAAGTCCCTGGCCGATAAACGTTTACTGCACGCATAAGAAAAATGACGGTTATGGTTTTCACGAAGAAAATACGGGGATTAACGGTGAAGGAGACGCATTGAAGTAGGAAGGTTTGCGGAACGACAAATCTCCTATAATAAACCCTCTATTAAGCCGGGCCAAAACATGCGAGTCGCACATGAATACAGTATATGTAATGAATACATTGAAGAGTATATTTTAACATTATTTTAAGTTCCTATCGAATTAAGTAAAATTCTTTCACAGCCCAATATAGTACAATCTGCAGACATGCATGTTTCGGCGTACTACACCTTGTCAGTGCTGCTTGGTACACGTCTAGATATACGTGATGACATCCGTATTATACACATGCAGTTGCTCTCACCAAGCGCATGTGGTACAAGACGGGTCGTGCACCAACGCATCCAGACATGCGCAGAGTATCATGGGGCCAGAGTGCTCAAACAAGCCAAAGGACCAACCCTTACAAATCAGAAGCTCTAACGAGCTTAATCAAATCAACTGTATTTTGCGAGGGTACAATACGAATACAGTACACAGTACCTCATTCGATAAACCACAAGTGGTACTCGGCGAAATGAAACAATTATATTGATCTTCATGATAACATGAAATTCTAGTTATTTTTATTTTATAAATTAAGAAATACTATTTATAAAACACGAGCAGGAGTGCTTTATCATATTTAATGATGAGAGTGCATGCGCAGCATGAGCATTTTAGATATGATAAAACACGACTACAAGTGTTTTGAATAGCTTCAAACATGCACGACTACAATAGATGCCGTCTCATCAGTATTTTTATATAAAGAATGCTAATTAGGATGGAATTTTATATAAAAAATACTAAGTGAAGATGAGTTTTATCATGTATTAAATTAAGCCTCTTCACATGGCATAATATGGTTGACATGATTTGCCAATATTAAGCTTATGAATTATTGAGTGTAGATAAGACATGTTATTCGTTTTTTGTCTTACATTCAATAAATCTCTGATCGGGCTTAGACTCAGTGACTCAAAATCGATTCCTCCCAGGGACCTGCAGTTGCATTTGTCGCAGCTGGCGTGTTTCCTGATTAGGTCTAATAAATCATAAATTTCCACTCGATAATTTCCATCAACGTGGACCAACGAAGTTAAGGACTGTTCCTACTGCAGGGAAGAGTTAAAACTGATAGTATTATAATACTACAAACTAAGGTGTCCTAGCTCCTGTACTTTCATAATAAAGGGACTTAGTTAAGTGTTTTGTTTTTAATTTTGGAGAAAGAGAGGCAATTAAAATTTCAATTCTTACAGACAGAATGTCTGTACTCCCCCACGACCTTGCAAATATAGTTATATACTAGTTATTTAGCCGGGCCGAATCATGCGAGTCGCACATGAATATAATGAATACATTCAAGGTAACATTTTAACATTATTTGAAGTTCCTATCCAAATCAATTCAGTTTGACATGTATCTCACAGCCCAACAGCAGATACTTCGCAAGATACCTGGACAAAAATCAGTTAAATGCTTCTCAACGAAAATCTGCCCCTGTGTTTCTGACCGATAGACCTTTCGCTTTCCACGACCGTTTCGGGAACGATATAAAGATGCAAAAAATGTTTCTCCATTAAATTAATCTGATTCTTATTGAGCACAAAGATCCTCGATCTTTGTCAATTGTTACATCCAACAATGTTGCGAAACAACTGAGTGTATAAGAAAGGTTCAAATAATATCTTCCTATACACCAGGTGATCTCGTGTTCGTATTTTAGCCAATCAGCGCTCAGAAAGGGTTGTCCGAATAGAAATCCATTTTGATGTATTCAGTCAATTATATCTTTCGTTATTCTTTATGAAACTAGTTAAAATTTTGTAATTATGTTTGGTTAGGAGAACTATAGCTCTGACAAAAATATGGAAACGAAGTAAAGTATACTACAGGAAATATTCAGTTGTTTTAATCATAAAATGGATTTCTATTTGACAACTAGTGCCAGTACTTTTCCGTGTATCAAGATCACCTGGCAGATGACATGTCTTTAATTTGAGTTAATAGTTTAAAATAACATGTTTTAAATCTAATTTTATGTTCATTGATCCAAAGATTTTCTTTCTATATATATATATATATATATATATTTATGACGAGGCGTAGAACGCCGAAACATGCACTTCGGTGTTATATATATTGCATGAGCACTCTCCGGAGTTGTTAATGGGTGATTAGCGATAACTCAAGCTCACTTCACTTGTGGTCGTTTGAGCACTTTGGCTCTATTGCACTCTGCGCATGTCTGGATTCCAATTTTATAATGATCAATTATATGATGTAGCTATCACTAATCTTATAGTAATCTAGTATAGTTCCTAATTAATTATCTGACCATTTTATATCACGTAGCTTAGTGCGATGTAGAAGTAAGGGCCGGCGTCGTAAATGTATCACGTCATCAAGAAATTGTTGGGGGTGCTGCGAACGCCGAAGACGTGAGCTTGCTAGGGGGCTCCGGAAATGCAATCAAATTCGCTATAGTTGACCATCGTCCGTAAAAATTATTATGTTAAAAAAATATTATTAAAACGCGCGCGCTTATGTATTATTATTGAAGTTGTGACAAGTTTTCCTTATAAGTTGGACGTTATATTTGGCACACGCCCCCCCCCCCCCCAACCGACATTTTTCAACAAATTTAACTGAGTATCTCACGAAGGTGATCCTAAGGGAGAGTGGGGGGGGGGGAGGGACGTTACCATAGTCAACCCAATATCATTAAAAAACTCTTGATGATGTTGCTCAGATGTTTGGTTCAATTCACGCCTGTCAAAAATGCATCCAAAAGCGCCAATTAGAAGTGTCCACTATTTTTCTAATTACCGAGCGGAAAAAATGTAAGACTGGTAACTAATTCTAATTTTGAAAATCGCGCTTTTTCTCTTGCTTCTGGTACTTTGTAGGATGTGTAAGAATATATAGGTATATACGAGTGTGAAAGAGGAGATTCTGTGGATTATTTTGATCCCAATTATTGCCATGGTTACTTTATTATTATTCTAGCTTGCTTGGTCTTCTTCCGGGCATTCGCGCTCAAGGCTGCCACTCGTAGGGGGATTCCCCTACAGTAGGGGATTATCACCTCTTGTAGGGAGTAGGGAATACCTACGGGGAAAATGGTAATTTGTAGGGGAACGTAGGGGGTTTCTTTTACGGTTTACCTACAAAAGTCGTATTTCTCTTTTTGTGATTTTTTTCCAAATCAGTTCTTCCGTAAATTTCAATATTTTATGGCTTCTATGGAGTATGGAACATTGTATGGAACTGCAGGATTTTTTATGGAAACTAGAAATTTAAATTTGAATGTGGAAGCACTGAAATATCATGTGATGAGTATGGTGATGAGTGATATTGTATTTTCCCAGGAGAACCTTCACGCGAAAAAAGTCCAGCCAAAAACATGGCGGATTTTGGCCTTTGCTGACGGCATTTCCATGACAACTGGTCCGTAATTCTCACCACTGACCAGGCTCGGATTTGAGCCCGCTACAATTTCCACACCCCCTGGTTATTTGAAAAAACTTTAGGGTTTTGCAATTTTGCTCGGGTTTTAGAGTAATAGGGAGTTTGAGCTTCACGTTTGCGGGAGCGCCAAACGGCAAGGCCGACTTTTCTTGGCATAAAGTCGTTCGATTTCTGCGTGTCATATTTTCCTTCATATGAAACAACAAGCCCATTTACTTTTTATCGCTTTTTATCGTAGAATTTTTCTTTGCCTGACGTTCGTCGTTGAACGTGAAGCTTAACTCTCTATTGTGTAGTAAGTATAAGAGCAGGTCCTCCAGTTATTATACAGCCCAGTGTATTATCCCTACAAATATACAA